ATTGAGAAATGTGCTCGAAAACAGAAAGCTTTTTCAACGGATGGAATGTGGTGTTTGTTGCGGCGACCTAAATTTTTACCGTGTGATGTCAGCCGACGGCGGTACCGACTTGAGATCAGCTGTTTTCTGGGACGGGCCTCACAAAAGGTGCTCGTGAGAGGCTAAAAGAGTGCACCGGGTGATCTCATCGCGCACTAACAATACACTTTTATTTTCGTTCTTAGAACTTTGCCGTTGTTGATTGTTGAAAACACGTTTGGGCGTTTTTCGACTCACCATACATATCGATGAATCTTTGTGTATTTATTCTTCCAGTTTGTAATTAACACGGTGAAGGTCTTGGCTTGGATGATGATAATTGCCTAATTTGGCTGTGTGCCCAAAATAAATACATTCCGTACCATAATCGGACAAATATCTTTTCCTGTTTATTTTCACAGCTGCGCTCCGAGCCGGAAACATCCGTCCGCCGTCTCTTAAATAGCTCCTTTATCTGTTTGAAGTTTCTCAATTGGTCGATGAATGAAAAACGGTAAAATCTCGTCGTCCGTCTCACTAACCTACGATCACTTCCAATGATTTATTATGATATCGGGTCCATATTTGCATTGGCCGGCGAAGATCACGTCCTCTTTTGGCGAGATTATAAAGCAAGGGTCGGCGCCACGCCCAGCTGATGTCGCAGTGACGTCACGACGCGCCGGGACGCTCGATATACGGCCCGCACCGTTGACGTCACGGGGTTAACGCTCTACTTTGGACGATGCCGCCATAGGAATTGCTGTCCTCTTACCTCTCTTTTATTTCATCCGAAACTGCCACTTTCCCGCCTCACGGAACGATTCTTACCGTCACGGACGAGAGAATTTATCGGTTTGCATAAATTTCGACCGGCAATTACCTGAGAACGCTTCTTCTCCCTCTCGTGTTAAATGTACTCGCAATTTAAAGGCAGGAATTTTAAGACGACGAGAAGAGGGTGCAAAAATCTTTCTTTCGTCAAAAGTTTTAAATCTCGTGAAAGTTTAATGGCATTTAAATTAATCGAAGTGCATGAATATGAATATCTACTCTACAGCATAAGCACGTTTCGCGAGTTCAACTTAATTCATTCAACTTTGGTCTTTCTAAGTACGACAACATTTTTCTATGTTTTTTACTCGTTTATACATTCCTCAAATTCCACTAACTGGGTTAGAACGGAAATGTTTCTTGCATTGGCGTCACCAAGTGGGGGCTAGAAGGGGCTAGCGCTCTCAAATTATTTTGTTTAGAGCTTAAATGTAACAAACATAAAAATAATTAAAAAATTCCTCCTCAATTATTCCTGACAGTATGAAGAGACAAAAAATATTAATTAATTGGTAATAATTCTCAAAAGCCGAAAAATATTCTGAACAAATGTCCAATCGCTGATCTTGCAAAATGGTGTTATAATGGCCATTTCAGGCCTGAACTGAGAATGCAAAAACAGCCGTTTTTCCGCACACGTCGTGTCTGAGGCGTTTTCCCGCGCGGAGTCTGAAGTCGCCTGAATTTATGCATAAGTGCCTTTTAAACGCCTCCGCTCGTCTCTCACCGACTTGCCGGATGCATCAGGGTCTTTCACCTGCGTTCCAACCTTCCTTCCAACAGCTGCTCAACACGGCGTCGCTTGGTAGTTGAAAAAAAAAAACAACACCACGAGGCCCCTTCTACTAAGGGTCGCAGATAGCGTCCCCGATTAAAATTTTTAAAATTAGATGTTGGCAGGCGTGTCATCAAGCGAAGCGACATCTTCAGAAGGCGACCGACGCTCGACCGTGACCTTGAAACTGCATTCCAAACAAGCGACTGAAAATTCCTCTCGCCAAGATGCGAATTACATATTATATTGTCGGTTCAACTTGTATTCTCTATTCGGTTTTATCATTTTTGTAGTCACATCGCCAATTTTTTTTTTTGAAAATGTCTGAAATTTGATCGACAAGATGGCTGCCCGCTTCGTGAAAAAGAGCCATTTTGTGCGATTTTGGTGTCGGTCAGCGGCTGTTTCCGTTGATTTAAAAAACGCAAAATATGTTCGGCGTTCGAAACAGCTGACACATAGGAAAATAATAGTCAGCCGTTGACTGGCGCCATTCGCGGCCAAGGTTAAGCGTATTAGCCGCGTGATAATATGAAAAGTAGCTTAAAATAGATTCTCGCGCACCTCTCTCTCTTGCGGCTAAAATTCCGTTTGTTTTTCGTAGATTTTCGATTGTATACTTGCTTTTTAAACAATTATGTAGTATAGCGTGTTGAGACAAAACGCGATATTTAAGTTGTCTTTGCTAGTTCCACATTCCGACACGCCGCTTGATGGCAGCACTGTACGACCATGAGTACGCTTTGTGCTATTTTTAGAACAGACTTACCTTACTACTTTTTTTTTGTTACCTGTGCAGATCTCGATGTTGGTAGACTGCAGAGTTGGATAACAAAGATAATTTGTTTCGTGAATGACAACGTTGTTGTTTCTTCATTACGAGATGCGATTTTTTTCAGTATTATTTCTTGCACAACGCGATAATTGATTTAAAAAAAGTTTGTTTCGTAATTGTGATTATATTTTTTTACAAGCGGAAAAACTTTATGTAATTTTTATCAAGAATTATGATTTGCCACAAAAGTATTGATTAGATATTTTTCGATTTGTTTTATGTATCTTATGAAATCTTAATAACATTTCAATGTTCGATTCGAGGAAGAGCAGCTGCTAATACAAAAATATTTTTGCTTGACATCTGTTCGTTTTGGAGGGAAGTCGTCTGTTGTTTTCATGATTTTACTTCACATGACGGAAATTCAATTATTTTGTTTTTCGGTCTAACCACAAATCCTTCAAAGATTTATTTTTATTCTTATAGTTGGCGGTAATTTTATGCAGCTGTTTATGAATAGCATGAGAAGCATTCTCTTATACAGCGTGGCCCAAAACACGCAGAACAGCTTTATGATTGATTTATTATTATTTATTTTTACATAAAGCCAGAAACAGAGGAAAATAGAGACAAAAACTGTGCAAACTTTAAACACCACAATTGCAAAATTATTATAACTAGATTTTTTTACATTATTCTCATGTTTGTACTTTATAAAGGGTGTAACGAAAAATGGGGACAAAGAGATAAAATAAAGCAGTTTAACCCAACTTCCCTCTATACCAAGTTGTACCGTTTAAAAGTTAGAGGATCAAAAAATCCAATAAGAACTCATTTTTTCTATTTTTAGTCCATCCGAAACCACCTTTTAAGACTTTATTAAAAAAAACCTACTGGTTAAAAATGGTTATTTATGTATCAAATACGCAAAATAGGGTTTTATGGGACGAATCGTAATTAATGACGAGGCGACGTAGGAGCCGAGTCTTTGATGAGAGGAGTCACCTAAAACCTTTTGCGTACGTGGTGCATACGAGATTTTTTTTGTTAAAGCTCCCAAAATACGAATTCACACCTCTTACTAATTAAAAAAAAATCGTTACTATAGGAACCAATTGTATTTTTTAGTTCGCAAACTGTTTTTGGGGACTGAGTAAGTACCTTAAATAACCGTTTTGCGTACTATTTTATTGAGTCCGGAAAAGACTCATTTTAGGGACTCAAATGAGTCCCTAATACAGCTGTTTTCGGGAACGTATACAAGAAATAATTTTATTTAATTAGGAGTCATAGTCTTTAGCAATAGAAGTTTGCAATGTGATTACAAACTGCGCTAAAGATCGGTTTACATTCAAAGGACATTTATTAGCAGCATTGTTATTTTATTCGGAACACTTTAGTGATTTCCTCAGACAATTTCCAGATGACAAATTAATTCTTACTTGTGAAACATACCCGAATTTGGACAAGGAATGTTTAAAAACCGAATTAAGTGTCATTTAGTCTCGATTGGATTGTGTCGATATTTTATGCAGCTGTTTATGAATAGCATGAGAAGCATTCTCTTATACAGCTTGGCCCAAAACACGCAGAACAGCTTTATGATTGATTTATTATTACTTATTTTTACATAAAGCCAGAAATAGAGGAAAATAGAGACAAAAACTGTGCAATACCATTTTTGAAATTTTTAATTGACAACAACCTTCCGGAGGCATTTACAGAAAGCAAAAAAGTTCTAGAGATCTTAGTGACGACAGTCTCAATGCCCACCGCTGAGGCAAAAAGGTGTTTTCTAACGATTAATCGTATCAACATTTTTAAGGAACACTGTGTGTGAACAACAGTTGAATGCACTTTCCATGTTATCGATTGAGAATAAATTGATTAGCGAAATTCCAAATTTTAATGATAAAGTCATCGACACTTTTGCTGCTAAGAAGGAAAGGAGAATTGCTTTAATTTACAAAAAATAAGAGAGTGAATTTTCTACATTTGGCGTAGAAAAATACCATGCATTTTTCGTTTCCGTTATCACTAGAAACACAAAAGAATAAAACCACCTTAGTTGGTTAATACACTTTAGGATTGGTTACGAAATTTTATGGTCACATTAACATTTTATTTGTGAAAAACTAAATCTCTTATCGGGGGCGTCCTTGGCGTCTAGAATACATTATCGTGTTGTGAGAACTTTGTTGTTAGAGACAACTGGAATGGACACTAAACGTGGTTAAATTTTTAAAAGCTTCGGATTCTTTGCCAACATTACAACAGTCACGCTATCATTTTTCAAATTATAGATTAGTCTTAGTTCGGAATGTTGATGAATCATGGTGTAAGTACCTTGGTCCTTAAATTGGAAAAATGAATGTAGTTAAGTGGTTACGTTACGTGACGAAGTTATTAGATAATAAATTAATAAGGAACAACTAGTGCCGGTTCGCCGATCACATGTCCGTCGCCGTGTTGTACGTTACGTCGTATAATTTTACCTTGAAAATGTCAAAGACATCGTCCCGAGTAACTGCGTCGTTTCGGCAGCACTGAGGCCGTCTTATGGGGGCCCAAAACTAACTCTTGCGTTCCTTGTTTCAGGCCGCAATTCTGCAACAAACCGCCGAATACATCTACTCTTTGGAGCAGGAGAAAACGAGACTGTTGTCGCAGAACTGCCAACTGAAAAGACTCGTGAGTCAGCATGAGAGCGGCGGCGGCGAATTACCGCCAAAGAAGCGCAAGACTGAAATCATTTTACCCACGATAACAACAGAGTCCTCCGACGAAGGGCTCGGTTCCATGTCCCCGGAGCCCGTGAGTCTCATCACCGTAAACGTTGGCTCCGAGTCCCCCGCCGAATTGCGCCGGCAATTGGACCGTGAAAGGGGGCTGCGGATGGTGCTCGAGGAACAAGTGCGGCAATTCGAGAGCCAGATCTACCACCAACAGCAAAACACACAACCCCAGATCTACCAAGTGGAGGGCACGGAGGAGCTCGCCCTCCAGCTGGTGAGCGCAGAGTGTTTGCCCCCTGTGGGGCACACGCAGACGGTGGTGTGCTCGCCGCCGGCGTCGCGCAGCCCTAGTCCCGAGCCCGAGCAGCGACTGCCATCGGTGCTGGAGGCGGCCATCAAGGCCGAGCCTAAGGTGGAGGTGGAGCGGCTGCCGTCGCCCAATCCGGGCCACGAGGACGCCGCCCCCCGGCTGTACGCCTCCAACACCTCGCGCCAGAACCTAGAGACCATCGTCGAGGCCATCCGGCACTTGGAAGGCGACCACATGTTTGGCGACGAGCCTCTTTCGCAGGAGGTGCCGTTAGCGCTCACCAAGAACGAGAGGATGAACACGCTGATGGAGTTTAGCGCCGCGATGGTGCAGCAGAGCCAGCAGTCGCGGCCGGGGGTTATTGTCGTCAAGCAGGCTTCGTGATCCCGCATTATACATTTCGCACGTTCGTATTCCTGCAACGTGCCAAGCATCCCGGAAGGGAAGTCGGGATCTGTCCCCACCAGCAAAAGCAAACAGTGTTAGGTCGGCCTGCCGCCACTGAAACGCCGTCGTAGTGTTCCTACATCGTTTCTATCGTACGGCGGAGGGAGAATGGACGGCGGCCGGCCAAGGTTTTTGAAAATTCAGATTTTTAATATGACGGTTTTTTTACGATTTTTTTTTGTTACTTAAAAAAAGTAATGTTTCTTTTTATTTGAAACGCCAAAAATATATTTATCATAAAATTAGAAATTGTAGTGAAATTGTGTTCCTTTTGTACATATATTTTTACTTTTAGGGAAAACGCCCTTAGCTCGGCGATTAGACATAGCTGTATTGTAGCACGAGTAGTCCAGTCAATGACATGACGTAAGTAATTTTTTTCTCAAAAAAGAAAATGGTGGAAATAAATGGCTTACGCTCAGTTGATTGTACTATATAATAGAGAAATATGTTTCATTTTCAGTTCGTTTGTTGTTTTCTTTTTGTTTAAGATTATGTTTTTACAATTGTATATACTAAAAATTAGTATACGTATAATGAAGTTTCAAAATATTAATGATTGTTTTTCGTTACATTAGTAGAATAATGGAGATTGAGTTCTGATGATGATCAGGGCACATGCCGACACACATTCAAATAGTAATAATGTGGTGGCAAGATCCCGTTGCAACTTGTTGCCTCTCTGTGAATTGTAACTTCTGTCATACCTGCATGAGTGTGTATTTGGAGTAAGGTGTGTGCTGAGTTTCTTTTTATACTTAAAATTTTTCGAGAATAAATTAGTTCCAAGCTTGACTCGGGACAGTACTGAAATTCTGAGTAACTGCGATAACAAGAGTAATAAATTTAGATTAGGTAGGTACGGGAAGGGTCTTGTGTGGTGGCCGTTGTTATAGTAGTATATTTTTACCGACGTAGGAAATTGTTGAAAGGGTTATTGGAAACGGAAGGTGACCACCCGCAAGGTCTTGTTGTTGGGAGTTGAATGTCTGTCTACTTACATCATCCAATTGAAAGGTTAGGAAAATTTTTGCACTCAGTCGTGGCTGTTCAGGGAAAGTTCCTCCGTTTTTCAGTTGATTTTTATATACATTTTTTACATTATTTTTAGCTTTTCAGGGCAAGGCTTTCTCTTTATTATTACCCCTAAGTATTCACAGTTTATGCAAGACTGGGTGTAGACATAGTAATAATAATTATATAGATGTACTTCATAAGTCTACTTTGTAACTATTGGATGGATGTAAAGTAAGTCGATAACTAAATTTAACGTTTCTTTAATTGGTTCCCATTATTACTGTGATTGTATTTATATAAAAATTCATAACATTACAATGCTAATTTAGTATATGTACTAGCCACAGGCTATTTTGCGGGCTTGTATCTGTTGAAACTGTTGCTTTTCATACAGCACTCCATAACTTGTCTGTATTACCAGCGATTGATCATCACATACCGTTTGCAGCTATTCTGACAAACTTATTGATGGTCTATCGCTGATTATGTATTTTGTTGAAGCTCCAATGTTATTGCAACATACATATTATTTTATTTTTTTTACACGTTTTAAAAACATCTATGCTGCAGTAACTTTGATCGTTTCCGATAAGGTCTGGTCCGACAAAATAATCACTGCACACATTAACTTATTATGGTTATGTGCTTCGATCATTATGTTGTGTCGCTTGTATAAAAACAAAAATATTTCAATAAAATATTATAAATTATGAACTTGTGTTATTGAAACCTGAAATATTAATTGATTACAAAACTGTCGGATGAATTTTAAATAAAACGTGGCATAACAATTGTCGATTTCAAATTTATTTTTTTGATTTTTCCCGACTTTGGCGACATCTGTGTTGTTTTCACAAAAATAAGTAAAAATCTGAACTCCTGGAGTATGCAACCAATTAAACACCTTGTAGAAAAATTAGACAAAACAAAAAATCGATAAAAAGCACAAAAAAACATTCATAGTGTTTGCTACAAAGTTGTTAAATATATGTTGTATTTTTAATAATTTTGTAATTGCTTGTGGCAACAAAAAGTGGAAGAACCAATTGTGTTCTTTGTTAAGAATCAGCAGCTTATTTCAGTTATTTATTTAAAGTTAAACATTTGTTACTTCTAAGAAATTAATAAATTATACAAATTTTGATGCTATTCCCAATAATTTAGTATAATCAGCACCTTTGGAAAACGTCTTTTCCTTTAAGATGGTTCTTAAAACTGTGGGTATTGGTACATGAATCCTTGTCCCTAAAGGAGTCCCATTGTCATCGATCAAAACCACATTATTACTATCAAATTTCGGTACTTTAGGTTTCTGGTTTTGTTTCAGTCCAACTAGAATTCCTTTTTTCTTTTCACCTTTAATTGCCATCAACACTTTGTCTCCTACAAAATAAATATTGAAATATTTATTCAAGAAAATCAAATACAAACCTATTAATCCTACTCCAGTTTTATTATAAACATGAATACATCTTGGAGGTTTACCCTCAGCCATAGCCCTTTTACCTATTTCACTGTTATCAACAACTCTGAGTCTTGATAAAAGCCGAATTTCATTGCATGGTTGCGTAATGTGGAAGTTTCTTTTAGATAATGTTATTATTGGGGATAGTTTTGGTAGAATTTGATTCTTGCAAAACATTTCGGCACTATTTTTTATAAAATTGTCTTAAAAAGTGAGGTTAACCACTGAAAAAATCGTGGCGATTAAACAGGCATTTATAAGCGTGCTTTTAATAGAAGCTGCTACCCATTACCAGATGTCACTGTCATAATTGCGTTGAAGTTTTAATGCAATGGATGGCGCTTCAAATAAACCAGTGGCCATCAAACGTTAAGAAATAGAATAAAAAAACAGTAATATGCTTATACTGCAGTTCTGCAGAACTTTATTTATTTTAAATTAATTTTAAAGTAAAATTTTAACAATTATATACAGGTTGTTTCGTTTTTATTGTTACAAATTTAAACAGGTCATGGAATATTCAATTTTAAGATAAAAGTTTCCTATAAACATATCAAAAATGTTATTGTAAGCGAGCTATACTCCCTAAAAAAGATATGTTTTTTAAAGAGGTTTTCTCACTATTACAGAATAGATAAAATAACAAAAGTTGGTACAGTTGATAACCTCTAAACACCTTAACAAACTCAAAGATCAGTTGTCGAAATATTTAATAACGGGCGTTTATTAAGCGATAAAACAAATTTAATTTTTAATTTTTATCTTCTTTATGGTCTGTAAGGCAAATTGTAAATCACTTTACAAATACGGTGAGTTTATAAGAAACCTTTTTTTTTTTTTGTGAAAAACTATGAAATTTAGAATTTTGTGGCTGAAAGTCACAAGAACCAACAGCTAAAATATTTAGGGTATTTTTTTACCCTAAATCCCTCAGTTTAGGACGCCGTTGAGTAAAAATTTCGACATTTTATCTTCGAATTCGTTTGGGTGATTGGGTGTATCATTTGTAGCAAATTTTGTAATTTTATTTACAATGGTTTTTAAAATATTGAAAAATTTATTAAAAGATGCACTCCTTTCAGGAGATATATAACATTTTTTGATACATGTTTATAGGAAACTTTTATGTTTATAGAAGACTTTTACCTTAAAATTGAATATTCTATCACTTATTTAAATTTATAACAATAAAAACGGAACATCCTGTACCTTTATAAAATACACTTATCTTGGCATTTTGTTAATTTTGATATCATTTTAACAAATTTCTTTATAACAATTTCTTAATTTATTTAGTAAAATTTCTAATATTATTATAGTGTCGGAAAAAATTTTTGAAGACAACACAAGTTTAATAGTTAAAAAAATTCGGTCTATTATCTCTCTAACGGTCGCTATTGCGACCTCGATTTTTAAACTGTCTTTAAATTCTTGTTGTCTTAATGTAGTTAGGTATAAGTGATTAATTGATTGTGTTTAATCATCCGATTTTGAATATGAAGTGTTTATTTAATTAAAGAAATAGAATCTGTGGTACAAATACTACGAATATAACAAAAAAAAAACTTGTGAAATATATGCGACAAGCCGTCGGTAAGGACTCATTAGGATGGCTGTAAGGTGTTTTTTTATAGTTTTATAGTTAAATTCCAGCAAACAATATCAAACTATAATAAATAAAATAAAGTAATGCAAATAATTGGATTATTTTATTTAGACCGCTATTACATACTTGCATTCTATCTTAAATTAAATTTTGTATTAGTTACAGAATAAAAGTTAATGATGTTGTAAGGTTACACAAATACCTATTTCTTTATTTAAAGTAAAAAAAAATAATTTTGATTGAAATTTAATCGTATCATTAAACGCATTATGACCGACTGTTACATTTCGAATCACGCCAAGTATTATTCAGTCTCTCCATTTTGGAAAGATTAGATGCTCAAAATGAGTCATATTGCGAATATGGGGTGTGACAATAATGCAACTTCCGATTACAGACGCCATTATTTATTACGCGTCACTGAACCGAAGTAAAAGTAACAATTTAAAATTTATTTCGTCGATTTGAACGAGTTAATTCACAATTTTCGGATCCCTTATTTCACACAATTTCTAAAAAATATCGATTACCCTTTAAAGAACTTTTTAAAGGATTTAAATGGTTTTCTGTTTTTACCATACCAAGGAACTTCGTGGTCCAATATAATAGTAGTAATACAGAAAAAAACGCTTAGCAGTAGGGATTCAACAAATCTTAGATTTTTTTTTATCACAGTTCTAAAATTGGATTCTTTTTTTATTCTTCTCTATAATTTTTTATATATTAAGTAAGTTCTTGAATAAATTTTTTGTATGCAAAATTTTAAAAGTTCAATAAGCTTAGACTTTTGAGTAGTGAATTTAAAGACAGTCTAAATGCATAATTAAAGTTAGTAATATATTAATTTTTTGCAAGAGAATAGTGCCAAAAAAATAGAGAACTAACGGAAACACTAATAAAAAAACCTCATCATAAAGAGTGCGTGAATTGTATTGCATTGTTTTTAAAATTTTGTTGCAAGGTTCTGCAAGGTTTGTTGCGTTCTTGTTATAATTTGAAATCGAAAAATATTGCAAATGGTGTTTTCACTCACGATATTTTTAGTTACTGCTGAATTGGACCATCAAAAATAGATTTTTAATTTTTTTGTAAGACAAATTGTTATAATTTTATAATGTAATAGTGTTGGTTGTTGGTTAAATAATGAATAATACGTAAAAAATACCAAACTTTTGTTTAAATTTCAAATCGACAAATATTAAACTTGTGTGACTGGAGTTATTTCTGTTATAGGCAATACTTGATGTTTTATGATGAATATTTAACAATTATTATTTAACAATTAAAATATCTCGATTATCAAATCAATTAAGACAACATAAAAATGATAGAGCAGGCTTTTCATATACCTACATTACCACAAGTGTTAAATAGGTAAATACTATGTAGGTAGTAAATCATTCACAAAGGTGAAGTTTAAAAAACAAGTCGTACACGAGTTTTTGAATTACCTGAGTAGAATACTATGTTTTATCTACGACCATAAAATATTTTCTATTTTTGGTACTAAAAAGTAGATGTTTTAATTAATAAAAAAGATAATGAAAATGTTAAATTATTTTTTTTTATATAGGGTCGCTAAAAAGTATGGATACAGTTAAATATTATAAAAACTATTTATGAAAACTTATTGAAATTTGGTATATGCTTAAAAGTATTTAAATTCCATCGCCTCAGATGTTTATCAAACTTCTATTTTCATTTGTTCTGGAGATACAAGGCTAACTTGATTTTTTTTTTAAATGTCATGAAGGGTCAAATTTAATATTTTTAAGAAGAGCATTTTTTTCTGTGATCTAACACATGTATATCTTTTTTTTTATTATTGAACTAATAATTAGATTTTAAAAAATGTAGCAAATTGACAAATTTCAACGTGCTCTGCTAAACCTTTCTGAAAATATCTAGCTGTATACATACTTTTTAGCGACTGTGTATAAACAACATTTATGGGTTATTTTACCTACACCATTATGTAGGTAAAAATCTACGTATTTGCAGTGAAATAGGTAAATCACAATTTAGTTCAGTGCAAAAGAAAAGTCTGTGTAATTACATTATTACACCCTATAAGAACAAATTTAGACTCTTCTAGAGCCTTTTTTTATACATGGTGAGGCAAGAGCATTGGACAATAACTTATATGATGGTGATAGAAAACGTGAATAGAAGATTTTATAATTTTCCTAGGGGTTTTGAAAATACAAATGTTTAAAGATAGCACAATTTTTTTATGCACATTTTACTTATTATTCCGAAATTTTTATTTGTTTTTTACTCGTAATATTTTAGATACCTACATATTTTAACGTCTCTTACTAATTAAGCACAAAATTAAGTGTATTAATTAAGTGTGTGCAAAATTAAGTAAGGACAGTTGGCAATTCATTTTTTTGAAATTTTATTGGAAATAATTTGATAATTCTAAAAACCATCCGAGTATTTTTGAATCAGCCTATATAAATAATAGAAACATTATTTTAAAATTTTATTTTATTCGGAAAAAATATAAATTAGGTAGATTTTATGTAGGTACAGTTACGGAATTAAAATTTCGGGCAGTATTTTTCTGTCATCATGACTGACATTTGACAATTAAACTTTTCTGTCGGTGACGCTATTTTTTAAGTCAAAATGACATAAACATGACAAGAGTAAAAAATGAGGTTATTAATGTAAAGGATGTTTTAGAGTTTACATTATGAAAATGACAATACTGCCCGAAATTTTAATTCCGCAACTGTACATATTAGGTATAAATATCATGATCAACGATCAAACAACTCATATAGTTTCTTAATCGACAATTGAAAATCTCAACTTTAATTAACCCAATCTCGTTCGTTAATTACCTACGAGTACCTACCTAAAGTAAAAATTAATTGTTTGTCACTTTTTCAGTATGTAAAATTAAAACGTTTTTAAAATTGAAATAGCAAAAAATAAAAATAAAAAAGCTGATTTTTTTATGAATGTTGTCACACTGAATTTTACTAAAAACAATCAAAAATCAAGAAGAATAAAATAATCCTGTATTCTACTGTTTCATATCAACGATCGCGTGTGGTTTCTTTTTATTTGAAGAGTATTTAATGTTTATCAATATTTGGCGAAAAATTCTCACACATCATCCCCTTTTACCGATTTTCCCACATGTCGAAAATCCGAAGATCTGTTTGCGGTCTTAAGAAGTAGCGCATGTTTTCGGCTTGAATGACACCGTGTTTGACAAGTACTCAGAGTCCGTCCACACCTTCTTCAATGCTTGTCACCCGTGACCGGTGATTGGACCCGACATTTACACAATGAAATCCTTAAACACTAAACACAAATATTCGTTCATTCTCTTCCTATGTGCCATTATACCACTGAAGTATCCCATTGATGGATTTACGCCAAACACCTAACGACTAAAAATTAAAAATCCATATCTGACACCGCGCCAAAAAAGCTCAAAAGCTCATTTGCGCCAATGAAGGAATGCGGAATTGGAGTAGGTAAGCTCATAATGAGGGTTTACAATTAGAGATAATTAGAACTGCAGTGTCGCCCCTTTCCGCATGCGTCCACGTTGTGGCCCACAGATTAACTAACGATGTTTAATTGGATCTGCGATCACAGAATTACGACGACCTCTAGATTGCCTGCAAACACGC